GATTCGAACCCGCCACCTTAGGTGTATGTGGCTGGCGCCTTAGCTGGTTGAGCTATAGGCGCCTAGCCGGGACATGTTTTTCCATTGAGTATCTTGCTGGGTCTAATGCTTCCTGGAACCCATTCTGAGGGAGTGTGGTCCACAGAGAATACTGGGAGCCTGGGTTTGGGTCTTATCTCTGTCCAATTCTCAATGTTGCCGGATCCACACCCCGTGTCACAGGCCCTGTGGGTAGATCTTCACCTTTCCCTTTTTTCTCTACTCCTGATCTGCCACTACCTCAAAATCCACCATCTGCATCTCAGCAATTTTTCTTTTTCTGTGGCAGGAGCTCTCTTCCTAACTTATTTCCCTCATCTGGACACCTGATCTTCTAGGCCAGAAACTTTGGAATCATCCTTGACTATTCTCCCTTCAGCACCTCTACTTTCCTTTATTCCGTACTGTTACTGAGCTTTCCTCTTTGATGTTCTTTCTTGATATTTCTTTTATTTCCCCCTCAGTCTCCTTTGGGACCTTATTTTTGCTCCATCCCTCCTGAAGTTTAATATACCTCTATATCAAGTCCCTTCCTGAGACATGCTTACTCCTACCACTCCCTGCTAACCTTCTCATTTGAAGCTGATTTCCTCCCCACTGGCCTTCCCTGTATGTGCATGGGTGTGTGCACACAGACACACGCACTCACATCTCTGTTCATTCCTTAAGTAGGCTCCATTAGAGAGATGATGTCAGTCTTTTATCCTAGCTAGGAGGTGGCAGAGCTAGGTTTCAACCTCAGGGTTTCTAAGAAAGTGCTTTCTCATCCATAGTCATCACTACGTTATTCAAGTCTGTCAGAAAGTCTGAGCAGGGATTATTTCTGTTTTACACTGGAGTCTGAGAAGGGGGCTCCTGGGCAGATGAGTGCCTGATAGGGTGACCAGCCATCTGGATTAGCCCAGCACTGAGGGTGTCCTAGGGTGGTTGGTCACGCTCATGTTGGACATAGTACTGTGAGCACCTTTTCGTTGACCACATTGCTTCTCAGGAGGCGACATCTCCTCTGCATTTGACCTCCTCTGCCTTCTGACCATTTGATGTAGCCTGTGGAACAGTGAGTCTTGTGGCCTGTAACTTCTTCCCTCCTCCTCTCTAGTCGGCCCCATGCTGATCGAGTTTAATATGCCTGTGGACCTGGAGCTTGTGGCAAAGATGAACCCGAAGGTGAAGATTGGCGGCCGCTACACCCCCAAAGAATGTGTCTCTCCTCACAAGGTGGCCATCATTATTCCATTTCGCAACCGGCAGGAGCACCTCAAGTATTGGCTATATTACTTGCACCCGATCCTGCAGCGCCAGCAGTTGGACTATGGCATCTATGTCATCAATCAGGTGAGGTCTGGAAAGAAGGAGGGTGTGCGTGTGTGTGTGTGTGTGTGTGTGTGTGTGTGTGTGCAGTGTATGCACGACAAGGGGAGTGTTTTCACAGACACCTGGCATATTGTAGTGAGGAGCCAGCCCCAGCACCAGTGCAGGCGAGTTGAATGCCATTGTGCTTGCTTATTGCTATCAACTCTGTTAGCTAAGGGAAATTGCTGAGATGTGTTTGTCTATTTGTTTTGGTTTTGGTTTTTTGGAAGTAGCCTTCCAGCAAAATTGAGAAAAGAGACAACCCTAATTATCCCAAAGTAAACACTGATTATTTACCATCTTTGTGTAGCTGTATATTTTCCTTTTACCTTTTAAAAAAGAAAGCCGTTATTTGGATGTCAAACTTCTATCCAGTGAGATTGGTTCCTGGGGCACCTTAGTTTAGGCCACAAGCCAGACCTTGTCAAAATGTCTGGGGAAGTCTGTTCGAGGGCCAGATCTGAGAGTCAGGTGGACTGGGCCAGTTCTGAGCAAAAAGCTTCTTACTGAATATCTGATCCCTATGTGTTGGGCTTTAGCCCTGCTTAGGAGACTAATGCTAACTATGTGTCAGTCTTCATCTCTGTGACCTGAGAATCAGATTGATCTAAGAGGCATTTTTATTGAAATAAATTTACTTCCAACCTGAGGAGCATCATTTTTTTTTCCCAAGAATATAACTTTGGTATTTCAAATTTATCCCCAATACTTAAATCATATCTTTACACTGTAACCTAGGGGCAATGGCACATCCAACTTATCTATGTACCAAATGTCACTGAAATTCATTTGAAGAGACAGAATATGTTCATTTCTGCAAGGCCCAATGTCCAATTCAAGGTAAACTTGGTCTGTTTGAGGCAGTAGAATTGTTGACAGTTTACAGCTTCCATCAAAGCTAAGGGACTGTGTGCCTCTTCTCATGGACCACAAAGAAAGCTGGAAACAGCAGTCTGTCCATCAAGCACTTCTGAGGACTGCTGTGGCATAGTGTCACGTCACTTAGTGCAGGGAGATACTAAAGAAATGTAAGGTCTGAGTCCTACCTGTCCTGAAGCTTCCAGCACACTTCTTTGGTTGTTCCCAGGAAACCGTTTGTTAATACTCCAAAGGCATATAATTGGATGGTGACTGTCAGATGTTTTAGAAGCTCAGAGGAAGGAGAGAGAACAATGGCCTGGAAGAACCAGGATATAAACAAGGTTTTGAGGGGGAGAGAGATGGGTATCTCAGCTGGGACTAGTGAATAGGGACCTCAAGGAAGACAGGAGCCTTGCAGGTCACTGGAGATCAAGATAATCATTGGGGTAGAAAAGCACTAGAGACCCTGAGGCCAGGTGTTGGAGCTGAGCCTTTCAGCTCAGCAGAGCAAGCCCTGTGACAAGGAAACTGGATCTCAAGGTGAGAGAACAGGTGGTGGGCAAGCCCTCTTGGGGATTTTTGAGTCTCTTGGCCAAGTGAGGTTAGCCTAGGAGCCTATGAACACCTGCAAGCAAGATAGCCATGCAGTTGTGGGTCATTTTGGAAGAATATTGGAGAATGTAAGAGAGAACAGGTAAGTGTCATGCAAAGTAGAGGTCACTTTAATCCAGCAAGTATTAGTTTAAGTCAAGCCCTGTGATCAAGAAACACTTGTCTGATGCCAGTGAACACTTATAGATCATGGCAAGATTCAGGAGCCTGTTCTTGAAGCAGTAGCCGTATGCACCTGACACAGGAAGCCACAATTGCCAGGAGCCAGCAGGGATGACTAAGAACAAGCCATACAGCTGCATCTCATTTCTCTCTTAGCAGTTACTATCCCAGCAGATGAGTGACACATTGCAGACACCGTACTGTCAGATCTCATTCAGCAAGGCATCTGGCAGCATCCCTGATTACAAGACAAGTCTGCCTGAATAGAAGACAGACAGCTGTGGTCTGGAAAGTATATAAGTAGATTAAAATACATACTCAGGCAAAGAGGGTACAAGAGAGTTAGTGATGAGTCTCACTCCGTTTCCCAGGTTAGAGTGCTGTGGCATCACAGCTCAAAGCTACCTTCAACTCTTGGGCTCAAGTGATTCTCTTGCCTCAGCTTCCCAAGTAGCTGGGACTACAGGTGCCCACCACAACACCTGGCTATTTTTAGAGACAGGGTCTCATTCTTGCTCAGGCTGGTGTCAAACCCGTGAGCTCAGAGCAATCCACCTGCCTCGGCCTCCCAGAGTGCTAGGATTACAGGTGTGAGGTACTGTGCCTGGCCTCAAGAGATCCTCTTGATTCAGCCTCCTGAATACCTAGGACTACAGGTGCCCACTAGAACACATGCCTAATTTTTCTGGTTTTGGTGGAGATAGGGTCTTGCTCTTACTCAGGCTGGTCTCAAACTCCTGAGCGCAAACAATCTCTTTGGCCTCTACAATGCTAGGATGACAGACGTAAGGCTCCACACCTGGGCTGATGCTCATTCTTTGATATAGATGGCTGTGGTCAAGGAAGACTGGAGAGGAAGAGGCTGTGTCTAGATACATTGTATTTTAAGTGAATGTGAGACTTCCCTGTTCAATTATAGAAGTCAAAACAAATATTGGACTGGTGAAAATATAGTCTCCAGCTTAAATTATTGTGACACAATTTATATATTCCCTAGGCTTCAAACAGATTTCCTCCTGTCCCCTACCAAATTGGTGGAACAGATAACTAAGCCAGCTCAGACCAGTGGCACCACTGTGCTGGCTGACACTGGACACTGCCTGAGACAGCTCTCCCAAAGTGTGCTTCCCGAAATGGAGGTACATACGCTTGAGGAACCCCGGGTTAAACCACATGAAGCAGGTCTCATTCCTGCAGAGCCCTCAGAGGTATTTCCTGAGCTTGCCTAACTGCAGAACTGTTTTCTAAGGACCATCTTAAGTGATGAGTGTTTTTATGAATCATACTTTAGGGGAAGCAGGCCCAAATTAACACCTCCCCCAACCACCTCTTTACTTTCCCTAGAATTTCTTTTTTTCTCCCCTTCCACTTATAGCTTACCATCAGAAATATTTTATTTTTAGTTTCCAAACATATATATGTGTTTTTCTCTCTAGTCTTGTCAGTATCATTTCCCCCCCCCACAACTTTTTTTTTTTATTTTAATTTCTATTCTTTCCTTCTCTTCCAAAGGTTAACTTTCCACCTCAGGAGAATATTTTCCTCTTTCTTCTCCCTTTCCCCCAGTTAGTCTTTATATTTTATGCTCACCTTCTACCCTGATTATCTTTCTGGCACCGTGTGTTCAGACTCCAGATAACTAAGTCAAGAAAAACTTGAAGTCTTCCCTACCTTTCCGATAAAGAATATTATCTAATACATAATAAAGTGATAATAGGAAACCTGAACATGGAAAAGACACAGAAGGAAAAACATTTGGAACATGCCCATATACAAATTAGGAACTTCCTGCATTCTTTGTTTTATAGCTATAATCTAGAAGAAGAAAGAGATTTTTTATGGTACCTGGCTTTGACACTGTTTGTTGAAGAAATAAACTTTATGAGCTGTTAAGCCTGTTAGTGAGTCCCTGTCCCAGACATTTGCTATCATTTTGACTCTTCATTTGCACATCCACATCCACTACTTGAAATTAGACATAAAGAGGCCAGAGCTCAGTGGCTGACACCTGTAATCCTAGCACTCTGAGAGGCAGAGGCAGGTGGATTGTCTGAGTTTAGGAGTTCGAGACTAGCCTGAGCAAGAGCAATACCCCTATGTCTAAAAAAATAGCTAGATGTGGCTTGGTGCCTGTGGCTCAGTAAGTAGGACGTTGGCCACATACACCAAGGCTGGCAGCTTCCAGCCTGGTCTGTGCCCTGCCAAATGACAATGACAACTGCAACAGAAAATAGCCAGACATTGTGGTGGGCGCCTGTAGTCCCAGCTACTCGGGAGGCTGAGGCAAGAGAATCACTCAAGCCCAAGAGTTTTAGGTTGCTGTGAGCTGTGGTGCCATAGCAGTCTTCTGAGGGTGACATAGTAAAACTCTGTCTCAAAAAAAAAAAAAAAATCTAGATATTGTGGTGGGTGCCTGTAGTCCAGCTATTTGGGAGACTGAGGCAAGAAGATAGCTTGTGCCCATGAGTTTGAGGTTGCCGTGAGCTATGGCATCATGGTACTCTACCTAGGGTGACAAAGTGAGACTTGGTCTCAAAACATAAAAGAAAATTAGACATAAAGATTGCTTAAAATAGGGGTGGTCTCTGAGCAGCTAGTTGAAAGATTTCCAAACAAGTTTCTCAGTATAGCATGGAACTTTGTGCCCCATTGAAACGCTACACACCCCCATTTTCAGCAGGTCACGGGAAAGGTGTTCTACTTGAAGTGTCTGTCATTTCCCATCCTGGTCTTTGCTAGGATTTGCCCAGACCCTCGAGGCCAGTATGAAAATTTCTGTTCCTTGTCACAGATGAGGAAACTGAGACTCAGAGAGGGAAAGTGATGGATAGTCACATAAAAAAAAGCAGGCTTGCAGCTCAAACCCCAGCCCCTGACTCCAAGTTCAGTGCCCTCTCGCTGCCCTGCAGTGACTCTCCTTGAGGCTGTGTAGCCCCCACCCCCACAGTGTTTCTCAAAGGCATCCAGGGCAGGGAGCAAGCTCTGTGCTTAGACTGCCTGGCTTGAGCTCTGGCTCTGCCACTTCCAGTCAGTCAGTGACCTTAGGCAGGCTTCTTATGCTCTTCAGACCCCAGTTTCCTGCTAGGGAAAGGGAAGGGTTTAGCATAAGGCTTTTGAGGCTATAAGCCATCCACTGTTTCTGTTGCTCTTCCTGCTAGGGAAAGGGAAGGGTTTAGCATAAGGCTTTTGAGGCTATAAGCCATCCACTGTTTCTGTTGCTCTCCACCCTGCACTTTCCCTGGCCGATTCCTCTGTCGGCACTGTGGTGGTAAATCCTACCATGCTCTCCTGCCTCCTGCTTCACCCTCACTTGATGCCAGAGTTAGGAGCCTTCCTGCTCTTGTTCG